TGTCTGTCTCTGTCTCTTTCTTTTGGGCTGCTGCGAGGTGAGCAGCTTGGCTGTATCAGAAGTCCTTGCCATGATATCCATGCCTTGTCCTGGGTCCAAACTGCAAATCAGGGAGCCACACACTGATCCTGGGACCGCCAGCCAAAACCAATCCTTCCTCCTTTCAGTCTGTTTATCTCATGTGCTTTGTCACTGTGAGGAAAGGCTACCACACCTGCCTGTGTGGGTATTAGCTATGTCTCTCAGTCTTCTTGTGTGTAAAACAATTTAGAGACAATTCACATACTATAAGATGCAGTCATTTAAGGTGTATTTGCAGAGTTGTCCAACTGTCATCACAACCGTTTCAGCACATTTTCATCACTATGAAAGGAACCCCCATTCCTCCAGGCCATTGGTTCCCAGCCCTTCCTCCCATCTGCCCCAGATAATGACTTATCTGTCCTTATAGGGCAGCCTCTTCCAGAGACTTCACACACACGCACGGGTAACCTGCCAACATTTGTGGCTGACCTCTTTCGCATACCACATTTTCAAGATTCATTCATGTTATAGCCTCTATCAGAATTTCATTCCCTTTTGTGTGGTAAAATAAACAACATTCTCCACCTTAAATATTTTAAATTATACAAGTCAGGAACAATATGTCCACTCATCATGTAATGGAACCATCACCACTACCTAGTCCCAGAATATTTTTACTGCCCATAAAGAAACCCCTTACTCATTCAGTAGCCTCATCTCTACACACGGGCACTATCAGGCTCCCCCTCAGTACAGATTTGCTGACCTGGAGGTTCTGTGAATGGCCGCAGGTACTACTTGTCCCTCTGTGCTTGGCTTCCTTCGGCCAGCATGTCTTCAATGTTCATCCATGCTGTAGCACGAAACAGTGCTTTGCTCCCTTTTCCTGCTGAATACTGCTCCTCTGTACAAATATATTTTATTTTTCTAGTCACTAGTTGAAGAATTGTTGACAATTTTTAGCTAATGTGAACAATGCTATTTTGAACATTCATGTGCAAGTGTTTGTTGGCAGTTTTCCTTTTGTCTTGCTTATATACCCACAAGTGTAGTCCTCCGTCTTTTATAGCTTCCTGCTCCTACCCTAATGTTACCATTCAGTACTTGGGTAGTTCATGGGAACTCACTTCAACCTTTCAGCAGGAAAAACCCTCTTGGATTTGGAATAGATGCAGGATCACTTCATGGGTGGGAGGAGTGGATCTTCACTCCTCTTCCCTAGACTTGCTTCCTTGAGGGTGCTGTCACTAACAACCACAGCTATCCCATGCTGACTGCAGACTTGGCATGGATTTCCTTCTCTTTGATGCTCTGACCCCAGATGGGCCCACCTCCTGAGACACAGCAGAAGCAGCCTGAAACCAGGACTTCATAGTATTTCCTTGACTATTGTCACTTTTCTGTTACTGGAACAAAATACCCAACTCACAGCTTAAAGAAGTGGAGGTTTGCTTTGGCTCATGGCTGCAGGGGGTTTGTCCTGGATAGGTGGCTTCAGTGCAGAAGCAGAACTGGCATGACAGGATGGCACAGCAGAGGAAGGTTGCTCACAGCTGGAGTACAGCGAGCAGAGAGGGGAGGACACACCTTCCAGATCATGTCCCAGTGATCTGCCCCTTCTGACCAGGCCCCACCTCAGAATGTGAGACTTTTTTTTTTTTTTTTTTGGCAGAACCGGGGATTGAATTCAGGCCCTTGCGCTTGCCAGGGGCGCTTATTTCACTGAGCCATCTCCCCGGCCCTCCAGAATGTGAGACTCTGAGGGATATTTCAGATCTAAGGCTTAACAACAGGAAGCCCCAGTGCCCTGTTTCTAGCTTAGCTCCAGCCATGCCTCTGTGAAGCAGAAGCCCTCTCCCCCAACCACCTGAAAACAGAGTTCCTGCACATCTGGATCAAGAGCATGGGATTCTGGGAGAGGCAGGAGTTCTCACTTATGTCTATAGGCCTCAGCAGGAAGACTAGCAAGGAAAACATCTGCTTGCTTGTGGGGAAAGCCCATAAATTCATAGATGGTGGCTTTGGTGGCAATGGCAGTGGTGAGGTGGCATGCACATTAATGTATTTTTTTTTTCACTTAAGGCAACAGATGAGTTATTTTTCTCAACTAAAACTAAGTATTCAGTTTCAGTTTTGGTGTTGGCACTTTGTGATAAATAAATGGCTTTTAGGTTTTAGTTTGGCACTTGGTTGCTAAAAGGTTTACTGTCACTGGCCTATGGTCTCAATGGATGAACAAGGCCACATGTTTCACAGGAACTCTAACGTCCCATGGAAGATGGACATGTGGGAGAGTTCAGACAGTGGCCCAGTTGAACAACCCTGTCTTTCTAAATGGGGGAACACTCCTGGGTGTGTTCAGGTCAGAGGTACAGGAAAGTGACACTGATCTCTAGAAATACAGTCAAGGAAGCCATGGGGAAGAGGCCACACAGGAAGAACCAAGAGCGGGCACAACCAGGCAGGTTAACACCCTGTCTCCAGAGTTTAAAAGTTCAATTCCTGGGATATTCTGTCCCTTGAAGTCCCTGAGGTGGGCTAAGTGCAGAAGGCAGTCATTATCCAATAGTGGACCAGATTTCTTCCACAGTGGAGGGGTGAAAACTGGTAGCATTGAGGAAACTTCCTCAACACCAGCACCAAGAGCCACTGCAGGGACTGCTATTACCTGCATGCCCCTGAAGGGTTTACAGAGCACTCCTCTGAGGCTGCTCTCTGCCACACTAAACACTCCCACCGTAATACTCCTAGTAGCAATCTCACACTTACAGCCTTGGTGGGCTGATGGGTCAGCAGGACAGGACAGAAGCATGCCAGATCTTCTCCTCTCCACACGATCCCTCTGAGGTTAGAGGCACAGTGACTGCCTATCCAGAGCCTGGTATTATGCCTTTCTCCATCACGGTATTTCTTCCCTATAGTAAGGTACCTGGCTTGATTTTAGAAAGCTATACACATTATTATTATTTTTGTTTTGTTTTGTTTTTTTTCACCATTTCAATTTGGAAGCAGATATGTTAACTGACCAAATCATAAAAACACCATGGTAGATACCTTAGTTCATCCATCTAATAAGCCTGTTGATCTGGTCTTCCCTATTTCCTGAATCTCCACCTTCCACAAAATGGGTGGTCTTTTTTTTCATTCCATCTCGAGAAGATGATAACTTGGAATGGCCACAGGAAGTTATTTGCCTCTTTGAAGCGTTTTCCAACAGTATAGATCTCATGAATCAGATCCTCCATGCAGAGGATTCCATATTTACCAAGCAATTGAGCAATCAATGAATTATCTGTCAAGGCAAGGCACTTCTTATTGATTTTGACATAGCCACACTTGTATAAGGATTTTTTGCTCCGAATGCCTTCAGGGCAGGTTTGGCTGGCTTGAGTTCGGGGGATCAAACCACAGCAACCTGAGGTTGACTGCTTTGTTGAAGCAGCCACTCAAAGAACTGAGCTAAGGGGCAGGCCCCCACATGCTTGTATATTAGTTCATTCACTGACTTCAGGTTTGGGTACCCCCATGCAATGTATGACTCCACAATTCTCAGTATGTGAACTGAAGCCTTGTTGAGCTTAATGAAGGTACCATTGAAGATTTGGCGAAGGTGAGGAAGCTGCAACACCTTGTGGACCTTTGGGCTCACACCACTGATAACCCTGATCCGAATGACAAATGCCAGTTTGGGCTCTGCAGGGACATAGCAGTTGCCATCCTCGCCATTCGGATCTCAGTTCTGTATATCTGTCTGTACTCCTTATGATAGTGCCTGGCTTTTTCATAGATGAGCTTCCTCCTTGCCTTGTGAAGAGTCTTCTGGGCAAACTTCTTTCTCAGGTGCTTTATCTTCAGCTCTGCGAAATGTTTTCCCTTTTTCATAAGGGTTTCTGGCACACCAGGAACCTTCTTTTTCTTCTCTTCTACACCCCCCATGGTTCCAGCCGGAAAAATATACACATTATTTTGTGCTGCAGTTCTGGCCTTTCTCACCCACTAACAGAATCACTAGAAGGCAGAAACCTTTTAATCTATTGTCTGATTACCCAGCACCAATGTCTGTTAAATGGAAGAAGATAGGAATAAGGTGCATTCTTGTAATCACAGCACTCAGGGGTTCTCTGAGTTCAAGGCCAGCCTGGACTATACAGAGTTCAGGACAAGCTTGAACTACATACAAAGTAAGACCCTCCCTCAAAAATTCAAATAAATAAATAAATAAAATAAATTTTAAAAATAGTAATAACAAAGAAATAAAACATTCCCTTCAGGAGAAATCATAGTATCACTTTGGTTCTAAATAACAGATCCAACAGTTAAGAAAACTCGTAAAGACCGAGAAGTAAATATATTGGTTATATAAATGTGAAAAGCTATTTGTGGTCTTTTTCTGATACTTGTTATGCCCCTGGTCAATTAAATCAATACGGAACGGATCTTTCTGGTCAATAAAATGTTTAGATGATTACAGTTTCCATGTGATCTCTTATCAACTGTGCCCACTTACTCAAAACGAAAGGACTGAAAAGATACATACAAAAAACGCCTGTAGCTCCTCCTCCCAGATCCCCTCCCGACCGTGAGGAATAGGAGGGACCATGTCCTCCCGCCCAGGGAACCATCCATGCAGTGTTCCAGCCGTTTTCAAGTTCTCGGTTTTGGAAGCGCTTTCTTTCCCGTTTAAACGTCCACGCTGCTGCCGTTCCCCCGGCTGGCGCGCGACCAGCGGTCGAGGCAGGACGCGAGCGGCTGGGAGGATGCGGAGGGCCCGGGCCCACGAGGGACGGCGCCTGCGAGCGACAGCGACCGCGGTGGACGGCGCCCGCGAGTGACCAGGGCCGGGTCCCGCAGGCCCCGGGCGCGGCCCCGG